TTTGTGCTTTTATTATTCCTGAATCCAAACTGACAAAGGTTTAATATGTTGTGTGAGACGAGGTAGGAATAGATCCGTCTATGAATTAATTTTTCAGAGATTTTAGAGAGCAGTGGTAAGTTAGATATTGGTCTACAGTTATTCAAGTCAGCTTGGTCACCTCCTTTATGGATTGGAGTGACCCTCGCTATTTTGAGGACTATTGGGAAGGTAGCTGATTCAATGGATTTGTTAAAGTGTGTTGCAATAATTGGTGACAATACTTGAGAAGCTTTTTTGTACATAAAAGCAGGCAAGTTGTTTGTCACCTGCCTTGTTTTTAAGGGTGTTGATGCTGAGCGAGACTTCTAGTGGGTTGGTTGGAGTTAGGAATAGCGTATTTGGGTATGTACCTATGAGGTAGTCTGATGGATGGGTGTTTGAGCTTGGGATTTTGTTTGCTAGATTTTTTCCTATGGTGGAGAAGAAAACATTGAGTCTGTTTGCTGTTTCAGTTGGTGTGAGTAGGGGTTCGTCTGATTTTGTTAGTTGGATTGTTTTGTTTTTGGATAACTTTTTAGTTCCAAGAATTTCAGATAGAGTTTTCCAGTTTTTTTTCATATCACCTTTGATGTTATGTAATGTATTTTCATAGTACAATTTTTTAGATCTTCTTATTAGGCTGGTAAGAGCTGACGAGTAACGTTTAGACTGTTCTCTAGTTATTTGACCCATTCTATACTGTTTTTCATATTTGTGTTAATGGATTTGAGGATACTAGGTGTTAGCCAGGGACTATTCAGTCTCTCTGCTGTGATCTGTTTTGTTTTTTGGGGGCAATGTTTGTTGTAGAGGCATTGGGCTTTTTTTAGAAAATTATTTATACATTCATTCATGTCTGTATATGTTTCGAGCTCATTTTGCCAATCGTTATTCATAGCTGCTATAAAGTTGTTAACAGCTACCTTGTGATGTAGTCTGAATGTTACTTTAGTAATGTCTTGTGGCAATTTGCCCAGATTAGTTATGAGAAAGGTTGGGTAGTGGTCTGTAGTGTTATCTGTGATTATGCCTGATTTTAAAGGGGATATGGTGTTTGTCCAGATGTGGCCTCTTAACCCCTTGACTGTCGCAACCCCCAATACTGAGGTGTCTCCTGGTGTGGCAAAATTTAAAAAAAATATATATATTTTCATATGAAATGATAGAGAATCTTTTCCTGATTATAATGACACCAAAAAATCAAAATTTGATGGAAAACTGACGGAATTACGCTCTCAGAAATTTACCGACCTCGGCGATATTTACAAATTGGCGATTTTGCCCACTTTGAGCCCTATTTTCAGTTAATTCCATTGTTCCAGTTGACCAAACTCATAGCTATTTCCTTAGAACTCCATTTTTTTCTATCGATTGAGTACAAGAAACTGTCCATTTACCAATTTCAACTACCCAATAACGTGGTCAGAAATTTGCAATTTGGCCAATTTCACGAAAATTAAAAAATATGACAATTTCAAAATAAGGTCCAGAATGAACAATGCAGACATTCCTGGCTCTAAAATAACATTTTTTTTGTTCATCAGTCACACCTTCAGGTCCCTCTTATATTACTCTTGCTTTCTACTTTGAATTTTTATTCAAACAAAAAATAGAAGATTTACTGTTATGCAGACTACTGCAGTATTGTAATAATTGTACAAATAATGTCAACCCATTCATGACTACTGCAATATTGTAATAATTGTACAAATAATGTCAACCCATTCATGACTGCATATTAAAATGGCTGGTTGGACATTTATTGGACAATGACATCATTTGTTTACTTTTGAACATTGGCAAAAATCAAACATTTTCCCTATTTTGAGCCCCATTTCCAGGTTCTTTTTATAGTAAAACCAATCAAAATCACCTCTATTTCTATAATATGTTTTCCATTCTATCAAATGAGACCAAGAAAACGAGAATAGAACCATAAATACTATATGAAAATAGACCACAAAGTCGGTATTTTAATTAAAAAAAAAACGATCGGAGTTTTTTTTTTCTCATTATGCACTGCGTGCTCCAGGATATTTTTATATGGTACACACTAGCCACACAGACCTATTCGCTCACATGTGGGCCTACCAGCTTTCTCCTGCTTGATTTGAAGCCGCTAGAATTTGAGTATATATACGTCAAACACGGTACCTCGTAAGACGTATATATACGACCAAAACAGCCAAAGGGTTAAGGGGATACTTGTCTCGGTGATTCTTGTTGGTTTAGATATTGTTGGTAGCAACAGGCAGTTGTTCATAGTGTTTGTGAATTCGGTTACTTGTGGGTCCTGGTCATGTAGTATGTTTATGTTGATATCACCTGTTAGTAGCAGGTGGTCTTTATTCCTGTGTGCATCGGTAATCATGTTTCCTAGTTTTTCACTAAAGTGGTAAATATTTGACTGTGGTACTCTGTAGATGTTTATAACTGTGAGGGGTTTTTTCAGGTCTTTTGATTTAAATTTGGCTATGATATATTCTCCATGTTCATCCCTTGTGCAAGATTTATTGATACATTCAAGTTGATTTGAGTAGTATATAGCTGTTCCTTCCCCTTGCTGGTCTGTTCTACAGTTGTGTATGGCCATGTAGCCAGGAATGGCATAGACATCTGTAATATTAGGCTTAAGCCAGGTTTCTGTGAGCGTGATGATTGATATATTGGAATGAAGGGAACTGAGTAATGCTGTGAGGTCGTCATAATGTTTGCTCAAGGATCTGACATTGTAGTTAAAGATGGTTATGTTATTGTTTGCACTGAGTAATGTCTTTGCTTGGTCTGCTGTGCAGTATGTAATTACAGTTGCTGTTTGATTCGTGTAATTCATTTGGTAAAAAGTTTACATCAGGATCTATGCCTGTAATCATAAGATGAGAGTAATTTTGCAAAGTAGATTTTCTGAGTAAAATAATATAAGAGCTATATTGAATCTACAACTAGACTTAGGAATAATACTATGTAATTATCCTAAAACTTTTAAAAATATAAAATAACTATGGATTATTATAGAATAGATAATTCAGTTATACACTTTGGGATCTATATAGCACCTTAATTATTTTAACAAATGTGAGTTTATGAACTATGGTAGATATTTACAGCTAAAATAAAGGAGCTAGTGAATATAATCAAAGAATGAATTAAAAAAAGCAAAAGCAGTTGCACCTAAGATAGTCAATAGCACCTGGAGTATTTTAATAAATGTGACTATATGGACAAGAGGGAAAATATTATAACACCTGAATGTGGCCCTTTAATTGTTATTAAACCAGGGAATAGCAATTACTGAATAAAGGGTGGTACAATGTACTGGTATATAGAGAATTATTTCAGGAGAAATGTAAAAAGGGACTAAATTAAGTAGTGGTACACAACGTTTAAAGGATAGATAGTCACTAGGATATGAAATTAACCTGAGTAGGATTTGCCTTATAGGATAAAGTTTGAGCAATTAATATCACAAAAAGAAATATTATATGAGATAGTTGATACTAGCTAGTGAAAGATGGTACAGGAATTGCACAGTAGTGTAGTAGGAACATACACTAGTTGGTTATTTGTAATTTGGGAGCAAAGGGAAAATTTGGTAAGATTGTAAGAGAATTATAACAGTGCTTAAGTAGGAATAACTGGTAATACAAATATTATTATAGAGTAAGTATCTTATTATCAAATAATAAATTGTGAATGGGAGATCTGGGAAGATAACACAAATTGAGTCACACAAGGAACTGTGTGGGACACATGGGATAATGAGGTAGTAAATACTGTCCGGGAGGTGATAGTACAGGGATTAATTCAATAATGGCATAACAACATACAATAACGTAGTACAAAGATTTGATCAATAATATCAGTCAGATTCTGTAATGTTTACGTCATGAAGGAAGTTTGCTAGTTCGTTTTCATTTGTAATATAGTACACATGGCCTACATTTGTTTTTCTTACTAGAATTTGTCCATCACGTACAAAGCACTGGTGAATTTTATCATTCTCACGTTTCAGTTTTCTCACTCTGTACAGGATGTTGAGTTGTTTTCTTGTGAGACCCTCGTTTATGTATGTATCTATTTTTGCTTTAATAGATGAACTTATTAGGTCTTTTTTTTCTGTCTTGTGTGTGAAATCTGAGCATAACACTTTTTCTCCCATGGTTCCCTTGTAACTGTGATTATTTTATTTCCGACACTGGCACACTAACATGTAGGTGGTCTTGTATGATCTGAAGAGTTGTAGCTTTGCAGTTGGTATGGTTTAATTCACTAGGAAAGAGTGGACTGTTAATCACTACTGCATTGGCTAGCTTATCTTGCTCTGCCTTATCTTGGTAAGCAAAATAATGGTTCAATTGGGTATCCATATTTATTTTCCAGTCCTTGACGGCATCTTCAACCTTCGTGTTTAGGGAAGTTATTTGATCTATGTGACTGGCTATGACTGCTTGGAGGGCCTTGCCAAAATCAGCCATGCCAGTTGATTTTAGCTGTTGTTCAGGGCTGTTGATCTTATTCTCAAGGTGAAGTAACTTAGATTCATGGTTTGTTATTGTTGCGCGAAGGGCCATATTTTCAGTACGAAGATTCAAGTTATCCGCCGTTAAGGTGGTAATGTAATTCTGTAGAGTGTCAGGATCATTAGTCATACCTGGGACCATATCAGATGGGTTAAATCCTATGAAGGTAGTAGATGTAGAGAGGGAATCAGTCACGGTTGGTGTTGTAGTCGAGTTGCCTTGGTTGGTGGGCGAGGGGGAGTCGGCCATGTTTGTTGTTGGTGATGCGTCGCTCTGGGTGGTGAAGGGGGTGGATGGGGCACCGGCGTCCTGCTGGGATTAGTAAATGTTATTTAGTTATTACTGTACAATATTTTAGCTAAACAAATGAACATGTTGACTGATGTTTAATGTAATTTTGTATGCTTTATTATAGTGCAACAGGTTATTAAATCTAGAATCATTGTTTTTTATAAACAGACTCAGGTCGTGATCGGAAAAGGCGCCGTACTGATGCTGTTGAAATTGAAGACCGTCTCGAGTCTTTGATTATTCGTGTGGGAGAAAAGGTCAGTTGGCATGATGCTTTTTTTTACACTAATTGCATTATCATGTAATTTAACAAAGGTCTTGTAACAGATTAATATATTGTACATATATATAAAGTTGAAGGGGGTAGGAGAGTTTCAGTCGGGAAGAAATAAATGGGATTAGGTCAGAAGTTTCTAATAGAGCTAAGGAAGAGTAGCAATAATGTTGAAAAACAAATTATGGCAGGAAAAGAAGGAATATAAATGTATAAATTCAAGGGTTATGTGGAATAAAATAAGGGATGTGAAAAATGGGTTATAGTGTTTATACACCTGGAGAAGAGAGAAGTGTAGAGGAGAGAGAGAGATTTTGGGAAATGTTGAGTGAATGTGTGGGGGAGATTTGAACCAAGTACTTGTGGTTGGGTATCTCAATGCTAAAGTGGGTAAAAATGTTGTAGCGAGAGTAGTAGGAAAATTTGGGGTGCCGGGGTAAATGAAAATGAGGAGCCTTTAATTGAACTGTGTAGAAAGAGGTTTGGTAATAAGTGATACATATTGTATGAAAAAGAGGATAAATAAGTATACAAGATGTGATATAGCACATAATGAAAGTAGTTTGTTAGATTATGTATTGGTGGATAAAAGGTTGATGGGTAAGCTTCAGGATGTACATGTTCATAGAGGGGCAACAGCTATATCGGATCATTATCTAGTTGTAGCTACAGTTAGAGTAAGAGGTAGATGGGACAAAAGGAAATTGGCAACAGTAAGTAAGAGGAGGAGGAAGATAGGGTGAGATATAAGCAACTATTGGGAGAAAGGTGGACTAGTGCAAGTATGGGTAGTGGGGGGGGGGGGGGGATTGAAGAGGAATGGGATAGTTTTAAAAATGCAGTATTAGAAGTTTGTGGCTATAGGAGGGTGGATGCAGAAGGAAAGAGGAATGATTGGTGGAATGATGAGGAAGAGGGTACTTTAAAAGAGAAAAAGGTAGCTTATAAGAGGTGTTTACAAAGCAAAAGTGATATAAGAAGGGCAGAGTACATGGAAAGTAAAAGAAAGATGAGGAGAGTGGTGAGAGAGTGCAAATGAAGAGCAGATGATAGAGATGGAGAGGCACTGTCAAGAAATTTTGCTTATGTAAGAATTTAGAGATAAAAAAGAAAGCCTAGGGAACTAATAGATTTGTCAGTTAAAAACAGAGTAGTTTGAGTTAGTAGATGGGGAGCTGGAGGTATTAGGCAGCTGGCGGGAATATTTTGAGGACCTTTTAAATGTTGATGAAGAAGGGGAAGCAGTAATTTCATGCAATGGCCAGGGAGGTGTAACATCTTTTAGGAGTGAAGAAGAGCAGGATGTGAGTGTGGGGGAGGTGCATGAGGCATTATGTAGAATGAAAGGGAGTAAAGCAGATGGAACTGATGGGATCATGACAGAACTGTTAAAAGCAGGGGGAGATATAGTGTTGGAGTAGTTGGTATTTTTGTTTAATGTATGAAAGAGGGGAAGGTACCTTGGGATTCCTTTATATAAAGGGAAGGGGGACAAAAGAGATTGTAAAAATTACAGGGAAATAAGTTTACTGAGTATACCAGGTAAAGTGTATGGTAGGGTTATTATTGAAAGAATTAGAGGTAAGACAGAGAGCAGGATTACAGATGAGCAAGAAGGCTTTAGAATGGGCAAGGGGTGTGTAGATCAGGTGTTTATATTGAAGCATGTATGTGAACATTATGTTGATAAAGGTAGGGAAAGTTTTCATTGCATTTATAGATTTAGAAAAGGCACATGATAGAGTGGATAGGGGAGCAATGTGGCAGATGTTGCAAGTGTATGGAATAATAAGTTATAGGTGCTGTAAAGAGATTTTATGAGGATAGTGAGGCTCAGATTAGGGTGTGTAGGCAAGAGGGAGATTACTTCCCAGTAAAAGTAGGTCTTAGACAGGGATGTGTAATGTCACCATGGTTGTTTAACATATAGATGAAGTTGTAAATGAAGTAAATTCTAGGGTGTTGGGGAGAGGGGCAGAATTAAATTATGGGGACTCAAATACAAAATGGGAGTTGACACAGCTACTTTTTGCTGATGATACTGTGCTCTTGGGGGATTCTAAAGAAAAGTTGGAAAGGTTAGTGGATGAGTTTGGGAGTGTGTGTAAAGGTAGAAAGTTGAAAGTGAACATAGATAAGACTGAGGTGATGAGGGTATCATACAATTTAGATAAAGAAAAATTGAATATCACATTAGAGGGAGGGAGTATGGAAGAAGTGAATGTTTTCAGATATTTGGGAGTTGACTTGTCAGCAGGTGGGTTTTTGAAGGATGAGGTTAACCATAAAATTAATGAAGGAAGAAAGGTGAGTGGTGCGTTGAGGTATCTGTGGAGAGAAAAAACGTTATTTGTGGAGGCAAAGAAGGGAATGTATGAGAGTAGTAGTATCAACACTTACATGGGTTTGGAGCACGGGTCGTAAATGCTGCAGTGAGGAGGTGGCTGGAGGCAGTGGAGATGTCCTGTCTAAGGGCAATGTGTGATGTAAATATTATGCAGAGAATTCATATTGTGGAAATTAGGAGGAGGTGTGGAGTTACTAAAGATATTAGTCAGAGGGCTCTGGAGGGGCTGTTGAGGTGGTTTGGTCATTTAGAGAGAATGGAAGGAAGTAGAATGACTTGGAGAATGTATAAATCTGTAGGGGAAGGAAGGCTGGGTAGGGGTTATCCTTGAAAGGGTTGGAGGGAGGAAGTAAAGGAGGTTTTGTAGGCGTGGGATTGAACTTCTATTAAGTGTGCGTGAGCGTGTTGGATAGGAGTGAATGGAGATGAATGGTTTTTGAGGCCTGTTGAGCTGTTGGAATGTGAGAAGGGTAATATTTTGTGGAGGGATTCAGGGAAACTGGTTAACTGGATTTGAGCCCTGGAAATGGGAAGTACTGTGCCTGCACTTAGGAGGGGTTTGGGATATTGGCAGTTTGAAGGGACGTATAAGCTGTCATATGTGAGCGCCACTGCAAAGACAGTGATTATGTATGAGTGATGGTGAAAGTGTTGAATGATGAAAGTTTTTTCTTTCTTTTGGGTCACCCTGCCTCGGTGAAAAACATATTTCTATTGTGTTATACTGTACATATATAATGTAAACTATTTCTAATAAGTATGTAATACAGATCCTAAATTGGATTTAAATTTGATGTTATAGCAAAGTAATATTTGCCATTTTATTAAGTTATTGATTAATTACAGTAGTTTGAGGAAGTCATGTTAACTAGGTGGCTACAAGCTACAAAGTAAATGTAAACCTAACTTTAATAATTTTTATAGAAACTCAGCTGAAACATGATATTGTAGACATTTATGACTTGCCTGGGTACTTGGCCCTACATAACTAGAAGTGGTTTAAGAATTTAAAGAGGATGGCATAGAATATGACAACCAGGATGGTTTATCTCAGGTAGTGGGTCATCCCAAGAAGGGTTGGAGGGAAGGGGTAAAGGATACTTGAGAGCTAGAGGTTTGAATATCTGGTATACAGTGGAACCTCAAATTTCGAACTTATCCGATCCAGGAGCTAGTTCTAAATTCGAAAAGTCTGAAATTCGAAGCAATATTTCCCATAAGAAATAATGGAAATACAATTAATCCGTTCCAGAAACCCAAAAATATTCACAAAAAAAAAAATACATTTTATAGAGATTAATTACAGTTTTACATACACACAACAAATGCTATAGTCTTTAATTATGTATAGTAATATAAAATAACATTTTTACTTACCTTTATTGAAGATTGGTGATGGCATCTGGAAGATAGAGAGGAGGAGAGAGGGAGTTGGAGTTATTGTTTGGAAGGAGAATCCCCGTCCATGAGGACTTAGGGTATCAAAGCCCTCTCTGGGGTTGCTTCCCTTCTCTGTATTTTAATGCCACTAGGACCAGCTTGAGAGTCATTGGACCCCAGTCTCACAAAATAACTGTCTACAGTCCTCTGTTTCTGTCTCACAAAATAACTGTCCACAATCGTCTGTTTCTGTCTCACAAAATAACTGTCCACAGTCGTCTGTTTCTGTCTCACAAAATAATTGTCCACAGTCCTCTGTACATCCTGGCAAGCTCAACAAGTCTCACTCCAATCTCATACTTCTGTATTATTTTCTTCTTCACATCTATGGTGTTTCTCACTTTCTTTACCACAGGGGTACTGCTAGCAAGTTTCTTTGGGCCTATGGCAGCTTATTTCACAGCCCCACAAGCACTAAACACAATTAAATAATCGTGAAATGTGTGAATGAGATCGCAGGTTAGTGTTCACTCAAGCATAAACAAAGCTAGACTGCTCACGGCGCCTACCCGGGGACGCGGACAGAGCGGGCCAGCGGACAGGTCCCGTATCCAGCGGTCCGAAAATAGGGGCACTTTCGATAATAGGGACACTGTCCGAAAAAAATGGTCTTATTTTCGAAACGTTCGATATGTGATACGTTCGATTTTTGAGGTTCCACTGTACCTTTTTGAGCAAGTTAGATCAAAGTGAATGGATAACTCCAACAATTATGTAAATAAAATCACCACATAAGAATGAGTTGTTTTCAGTATTTTGCTAGTTTTAAGTGAAATGTCTGCAATAAAGACCTCATATTCATATTAAGAAGCTGACTTGTTATTTCCAATAAAAGTACTTTGAGATGAAGGAAAGTTGTTTTGATCATAGAGCACATCATCCCTGGAGAGCAACCTTGAAGGTCTGGCAAGTGTTCTGGAAGCTGACATCAATAATTACAAGAGTAAGATTCTTAAGATTCTCAGTGATTGTGCTGTAAAGATGCCAGAAAAGACTACTATATACACTACGCTGGTTGGCCTTCTAAATGCTAAGAATTACAACTTCGGTGGAGAGGTAATTGTATTTTATTTTATTTTTACGATGTTGTAATAGACTTGTCATGTCTTTGCTAACTTTAATGGTTTTGAATAAATAATAAATAAAATTCATATTGCCTTTTGAGACAAAAGGCTTATTTGGAAAAGAAAAATAATGTAATTTATAATTGTGGGTTAATAATGAACTATGTATTCCAGTTGTATTATTTTGACTTACTCTTTTGTATTTTATAAATGTTTCCTAATTTTTGTCTAGATTTTGTAATTGCTTATTAAAAGTTAGGGTAGCAGAGATTTGTTTGTTGTATCCCATCTTCCGTATTGAGTTTGTCATATACATTAATTTATGAAAAGTTCCCAGTTAGTGTCACACACATTTCATTGTCTAGGATCCCATTCCAGCAGTCAGCCTCTGTTTGTGAAGACATATTTTTCTAGTATACTTTTACATCACTTATTTTCCCAGTTTACACTTGGGGTCTTGTGTTCTTCATGTTGTTGGTTGTAAAAATCTTCTGCAGCACTTTATATTTATTTATTTTAGGTTTTTATGATCTTGTTCTGTATTATCATGACCTAGCACTTTTCAGGATTAACCCTTTCAATGTCAGTCCCGTAACATTACGGCTTGCAAGCCAGTGTTGGTTGCACTGGTAGGCTAATGTTGACCTACCAGTGGGAGAAAGCTGGTAGGCCTACATATGAGAAAATGGGTGTGAGTGGTATAAAAAATCCTGCAGCATGCAGTGCATAATAAAAAAAAAAACACTGACCGTGTTTTTGGCTTAAAACACAGACGTTGTGGTGTATTTTCGTATAGTATTTAAGGTTGTATTTTTGTTTTCTTGGCCTCATTAGATAGAATGGAAGATAGACAGTAGACTGTCATTTAGCACGAGTTTATTTGGCACGATTTGGGTATAGCATGTTTGAAGAATTGCGGAACAATTTTATGTAACACGTCATATGATGAATTTAACACGGTTCAGTTTGCAGGAAGGAAAAAAACTTCCCTTTTCCTCTAGCGGCTGCTTTGTTGTGGTTCAGCGGGGCAGACCTCCCATCGTCTCCAGCCACCTTCCCCAACACCACCCTACCATCAAAGCATTCATACTTCATACATGTCCAGTCCAACTTCTCTGCTACAAGCTTGTGATTGTGAATTGTGTTTTGATCTTTTAATTGCTATATCTGGTATCTGCCAAGCAATCATGACACCCAGAAGGCATACCAGTGTTGCTCAAAGTTGCAAGAAAAGGTGTAAGCATTTAATTAAGTCTTAGAATTAATGAAGGAAACAAAGATATTAGACAAGACATCCTGTGGCCATAATGAAGTGTTACTTTGTACACATAAAAAGAGGTAAACATAAGTTTGTGTGGCTGACTGACTGAATGATTTGACTGACTTATTGAATGATTTACTGAATGACTTGACTGACTTACTGAACAACTTGACTGACTTATTGAACATCTTACTGAATGACTTGACTGACTTACTGAATAACTTGACTGACTTATTGAACAACTTACTGAATGACTTGACTGACTTATTAAATGACTCGACTGACTTACTGAATGATTTGACTGACTTACTGAATGACTTGACTGACTTACTGAATGACTTGACTTACTGAACAACTTGACTGACTTGCTGAACAACTTTACTGACTTACTGAACAACTTTACTGACTTACTGAACAACTTTACTGACTTACTGAACAACTTGACTGACTTACTGAACAACTTGACTGACTTGCTGAACGACTTGACTGACTTGCTGAGTGACTTGACTGACTTACTAAATGACTTGACTGACTTAATGAATGACTTGACTGACTTAATGAATGACTTGACTGACTTACTGAATCACTTGACTGACTTACTGAATCACTTGACTGACTTACTGAATCATTTGACTGATGTATTGAATCATTTGACTGATGTACTGAATCATTTGACTGATGTATTGAATCACATAACTGACTGAATGACTTCAAGTAAGACACTCCACTACAACCATTAACATCAGTACCAGAACCTCTACCATCCACCTCAGCCCAGTAGGGCCACAGCATAACTCTCCACTTATTTATTTATTTATTTATTTTACATATTTATTTTGTCTTTGCAAACAGTACTTTGAGATTTTATATTTACAATAGACCTCCTGTATAGAGTCAGAAAACTTAAGCGGGAGAATAACGACACAATACACCAATGCTTCACACGGGATGGGAAAATTCTTGTTAGGAAAACAAATGTAGGTCAACTGTACACAATCACGAACGAGAATGATCTATCACGATTTCTCAGGGATACTAATCTTACAGAGAATAACTAAACAATGTCCAACTTAAAAGCCTACGTAGTGTAGTGTATGTTTTGCTCCATTATTGTTCAAATTTCATTGTACAATCAACTACCTCATTTTGTGATTTTACTAGTATGCATAAGTCACCTTATGTGATTTTCTTATTTACTATTGTTCGCTTAAACATTAGCTGAATTGATACTTTCTCTGTCCATATTACTACCTCATATTTTTTTAAATACTATCAATTGATATTACTTACTAAAATTAATATTTATCATTTTTACTAAAATTTCAAATTTACTTTTAATTTTTTTGGGACATTAATAACCTTTATTGTAATTACCTTTTACCTTTTTAATACCACATTACTATCTTAAGTATCAAAATTACCTTTACTCCCCATAAACCTCTAGTAAAACTACCAGTGAAATATTGAATAAAATTTATACTTATTTTTTTCACTTTTTTTTTGTAATCATTATTACTTACTAAAAATTTTATTAAACACCATATTTACTACCATCAATTTTACTTTTGTACTTTAAACAATATTTTATATTTCCCCCATAACATTTTGTTCCCCAAATTTTCAAGTTTGTATATTAAACCCCAAACCCTTTTTTTATCCTTTGTATCTGTGTCCCTGGTCCTGCTACCATTTACTATCATTTTATAACCAAGACATTACCATTTTTTTTTTTTACATTATTTTTGGTACTTTAATTGTGAATTTTTTTTGTAAATTTAAATCTATTATAAACTTGTCTTGTCAACAACCATACCGACTCTAGTGCAATTGCAAGTACCATTTAAAATTTGTTTTTTTAATTAAATTTAATTAAAATTCCTCCCACTGTCCATTTTAACTTTGTTACCATTCTTAATTTTAGCCCTTAATTTTTCTCCTTTTATTTTAGCTTTATAAAAAACTACCCTAGTTTAAAAATTTCACAATTGTTAAAATAAATTTTTAAAAAATAAAAAAAAATTGTTAAAATAGGTAGTAGGTTGGTGACAGCAACCCCCGGGAAGTACTACCGTCCTGCCAGATACTGTGAAACAAAACCTTAACTGTTTTGGCATGATGGTAGGATTGGGGTTTTTCTTTTTCTGTCTCATAAAACGAAAGATAACAGGGATATCTTCTACTCCTATTTCACTTTGGTAAATTACAGACACCCCATGCAATATATTATAATACATCTGGGTTTTTTCCTCCTTTTTCAAAATGCTTTGTTCTTTTTATTTTCTCTATTGTCCAGGGGGAAGTGGAAAAGAATTTTTCCCCCGTAACCCCATGGTGTCGTATGAGGCGAAAAAATGCCGGGAGCAAGGGGGTATAACCCCTTCTCCTGTATAAAATTAAAAAAAAGAGAAGAAGAAAAAACTTTATAAAACTGGGTTGTTTAAAAATGGCGTGGTGTGTGCGGAGACAAAAACAGTGATTGCTGATGTTATAAATGAAAAGAATTTGGGTCCTGGCCCTAAGGAAACAAAGTGAAGGGGTAGGGGGGTTTCAGTGGGGAAATAAAGGGGTTTAAAATTGGGTATCTGGAGAGTTAGAGCAAAGGAAGGGGTAGCATAATGTTAAATATCATTATGGGGGAAAAAAAGGAAATGAATGGTAAATTCAAGTTTAAATTGGGATTAAAGTAAATTTGGGATGCGAGAATGGGTAAAAATAAGGTGTATGCCCGGGAAAGGGGGAATGAGAGGAGAGAGAGGATTTTGGGAGATGTTAATGAATGTAAGGAGCCTTTGAACCAATGGAGAGTAAATTGGGTGGGGGACTTAAATGCAAAGTGGGAGAAACTTTAGAGGGGGTTTGGGTTGGTAAGTTTGGGGTGCCAGGTGTAAATGTAATGGACCCCTTTGATTGAACTTTGTTAAAAAGGGGTTTTTTTTAGGTAATACATTTTTAAGAAAAAGAGGATAAATAAGTATACACGATATGATGAGGGCGAAATGACAGTAGTTTGTTGGATTATGATTGGGTAGAAAAAAGACTGTTGATAGACTTCAGGATGTCATTTTTTATAGGGGGCCCCACGATTATCAATCCTTTCTAGTTGTAGCTACACTGAGGTAAAAGGTAGGGGGGATAAAAGGAGAATAGAACACGGGGAAAGAAGGTGAAGGTTTATAAACTAAAAGAGAGGCAGTTGGAAAGATATAAACAGCTATTGGAATAGATGGGCTAATGAGAGCATAGGAAAAGGGGGGTCGAAGAGGTATGGGGTGGGTTTTAAAAATTATTTTTAAGTGTTCAGCAGAAGTTTGTGGTTACAGGAAAAATGGGTGAAAGGGGGGAAGAGAGGTTGGTGGAAAGATGATGTAAAGAGAGTATAAGGGGGAAAAAAATTTGATATGAGAATTTTTTCAAATTTTGAAATGATGCAAGGAGGGAAGGTATATGGAGAAAAAGGAAAGTTAAGAGAGTGGGGAAGCAAATGTAAAAAAAGAGCAAAGAGAGAGTGGGGGAGAGTTTATAACAAAATTTTTTTGAAAATAAAAAAAAAGTTTTGGAGTGAGATTAACAAGTTAAAAAAGCCTAGAGAACAAATGGAATTTGTCATTAAAAATAGGAAGGAGAGTTATTTAAAAGGGAGTTAGGGTATTGGAAGATGGAGGAAATATTTTGAGGAAATTTTTAAATGTTGATGAAAATAGGGAAAGCTGTGTTTTGTGTATAGGGCAAGG